GTTGTCATCTCATAATTACAGTAATTCTGACACAACATGAATGGAGCCGTTTCAAGACAACATTAAATTGCATTTGCATTTAACTTCTATAATGTGTTGTATTCATCAGGATTTGATTAGATTGTGAATCTTTGGCAAAGATTTGTTGATTTTATTTTTTACTGCCCCCACGACGATGATAATGTTGATTGTATCAGTTTATTTCTATCAGTATTTTCTATCCATATTTTTATTTATTTGATGATTTTGATTTACTTGATTAAAAAAACAGTATTATTGTGAAATATTATTGAAATTTAAAATGACTGATTTCTATTTTAATATATTTTACATTTAATTTATTCCATGGCAAAGCTCAATTTTCAGGAGCCAGAAATCATTCTAATATTCTGAATTCTTATTATTATCGATGTTGAAAACAGCTGTGCTTCTTAATATTTCTGAGAAAACTGATATATTTTTTTAGGTACAATCTATCTATCTATCTATCTATCTATCTGTCTATCTGTCTATTTTTTTAGGTACAATCTATCTATCTATCTATCTGTCTATCTGTCTGTCCGTCCGTCCGTCCGTCCGTCCGTCCGTCCGTCCGTCCGTCCGTCCGTCCGTCCGTCCGTCCGTCCGTCCGTCCGTCCGTCCGTCCGTCCGTCCGTCCGTCCGTCCGTCCGTCCGTCCGTCCGTCCGTCCGTCTGTCTGTCTGTCCGTCCGTCCGTCCGTCCGTCCATCCGTCCATCCGTCTGTCGACAACCCACTCTAATCCATATTTCTACACACACACTCCTCTTTCTCTATGCTGACAGCCAACTGACCCATGTGGATTTGCAAAACAAAAGTTCCTCTTCACATTTATTTTATCATCCACCCTTATCTTGCAAGTTATTCTCTTCCAGCAGAGCTTGTTCTGAACACAGATGTTCAGATGTTCCTCCCTCCCACCGCTCTGACACGAGCCACGGTTCCTGCCTGCTCTTGTGCACGGCCCCACACGTCTGACTAAATGTGTTCATCGGAAATGTAGGTGAAATTTTTAGATTCTTTAAGCATGTCTCCTGATTCATGAAACATTCAGGGCATTCCTCACTCTCGATTGTTTTTCTAAATCGGCAAACCCCATCTCACCCTGATTTGGGTGAGGGAGAGAAAATATCACTCTGGAATTTTAATTTCCTGCATGAGTGCAGCCACATGAATGTTCCATATTTTCCACTGTAGCCGATGTTATCGCATCAACATAAGAGCACGAAAAACTTCAAAATCTGTCGAAATCCGTGTTCGCCTCCGCGTACCCCTCCCCGGGGACATTTTGGTGAAAAACAAAACATGCTTATCTTTTCAAGAGCATAATGTGCAGGTATGGTGCCTCTATGAGTAGCTGGAAATATTGCAGGTTTTCTTGTTACATACAGGTTCTCGTTTGCTGAAAGCAGATCTGAATTGGTGTAAAACAAGATTTTGCAAATCTTGATGACAGGGCCTGCCTGGATTTCAAACTAGGGTCTGGGATCTGTGGTATCTATTAAGTTAATAAATTAAAATTAAAAAAACTTTTTTAGGGATGACAATTAATGTGTTAACATACTGTAATAGTTTTATTTATTTTTAAATAAAAATGTTAAAATAAAAATAATAGTGCCTCTCACACCTGAATTGTAACATGTGCATCTGATAAAAGTTCAATATAAACTTGAAAAAAATTAACAAATGCCACTCTCTCTATTAAAACTTGCATAATCACAAAATTTAATTTTTTTAAAGCATAAATGTTTTAAATTAAATTAAATATAATTTAAATGTTAAATATTTATAATGCTTATATTACATTTATTTATTTATTACATTTAAATATCCAATTATTTAACATATTTACAGAATTTGAGTCAGCAATTCTAAATTTAAAAATCATGACAAAACATTTATTGTAAAATGCATTACAAAAATTTTGAATTGAACTGAAAATGTTTCATACATTAAATATTTAATCTAACAATATATTAAAAAGCAAATATTTTATATAATACTATACTTAAACATAAATCATATAATTCATATAATATTTTAATAATTTGCTTTAATACAATGTCAATACAAAAGACTGTTAATTTGGGAAACATCTGTATAATGTCAAACTTAATATTTTATTTATTTTTATTAAATACAATAAATAAAATATTATTAATTTTATTATTTATTTATTGAATTTATTAATATTTTTTTATTTTATTATTTTCTTTATTTTTATTCAAATCACAAAAACACACATTTTTCACAAATGTCTTTACAAATGTCTATTTCAGGAAGGGAGATCATAATATTTGGGGGTCTTTGGCATTAAAAAGTTTAAAAATAAACCTGTTTTAAGCAATAATAATAGTGACACTAAACTTTGGATGTTTAAATCTAATATGTGAATGGTCATCAGTGGAAAAATATGCTTCTTGACGGCAGAATGTAATTGTGGCATTGACTAGCACAGGCTAATATAGGTCCATGTTAGCTAAACCTTGACTTGTTGGTTTGAACCTAACCTTTTGGTTCATCTTAAACCACCTCACCATGATGTCCATAGCAGCAGGAAAGAAGCTACACAGCTTCATCTGTTCACAATTTTGATGCTAAAGTGTAGCTGCAGTTGTAAACAAATGGTTTTCTCGCTCTATTCTGTGCATTTCACCTTTATCATCCCAGACAATCTCTCTTTCTCTCAGCCTAGAACGAGACCAGGAGATTGTTCCTGCTGTGAGGTCTAACTGCTCTCCTTCACACACACACACACACACACACACACACACACAGTTCCACAGCCCAGCCGTAATGTTCTGTGTCTGTTTCTGAAACCAAGCAGGGCGATACGAGTGAAAGAGAAGGTAAGAATTTGAAAATAGCCAGAAAATCGCATTTTTGTGTGTAGTTTGTCCCCCTAACCCAGACTAAACATCTTATAAGCTATGTCCCCCTTATTATACTCCCAGAATCCCCGTCACTTACTGCTTTACACACTGGCTGACCTACTTACAGCTGAACTCCCTGACAAGACAGCGAGACGGAGGAGAGGTAGAGAGGATGTCCACAATCAGAGAGTGGAAGTGTCGACCCACGTGAGGCTTCAGAGAGCTCCAATCCCTCAACAAAACAAACACAACAACTGCGCCCGGCAACGGATCGCCACCTCCCCGGCAACTGGCAGTGTTGTCTCCTGTTGACTGTGTGCTTTGTGAGTGTTTGTGAGTGTATGCAAGTAGGCCTATTATAGGATAGATGGCAGAAATGGCAACAATTTGAAATGTGGTGAATGAGCGAGACATGAGAAAGGCTACCTGTAATAGCAGGATGGCAAGTGTAGAAACTATAGAAAATAGAGAACTAGGAATGAGCGCAGGGGAAATGAAGGATGAGAGGCCAGTTAGATTTGAAGGAGACAATATAGAAGTATGGAGGCCTTTTTTCTGCCTTGGAGTAAAAATAAATAAAATTGCAACTGTATTTTTTGTAATTGTGACTTAATGTCTCACGAATTATATTTTATATTGTAGAATATGACTTTGTATCTCACAATTGCTTTTTTTTAAATCACAACTATATATTTTATATTTTAAATTGTGTAATAAAATGTATTTTCTCACAGTATTTTTATATCTCAAAATGTGACTTAATATTTCCTATTTCTGACTTCATATCTCACAAGTATTTTATATCTTAAAATCTCACTTTGATCTTTTATGTCAAAATCTGACTTTATATCTGTCAGTTGTGACTGTCATCTCATAATTACAACTTTCTCACAATTGTGACTTTTTATATCACAACTACATATTTTATATTTTAAATGTGACTTTACATCTCACAATATTTTATATCTCAGAAATGTGACTTAAAGGAGACATATTATGCCCCTTTTTACAATATGTAATATAAGTCTCTGGTGTCCCCATAATGTGTCTGTGAAGTTTCAGCTCAAAATACTCCACAGATCATGTATTATAACATTTTGAAAATGCCTATTTTGAGTGGAAGCAGAAACATGCTGTTTTTCAGGCCTGTCTCTTTAAATGCAAATGAGCTGCTGCTCCCCGCCCCCTTTTCCAGACAGAACAGTTAGCATGTTTTGCTCAAACTTTGGCCATGGCATTAGAACTGGTACACCGTTGTCGCTCGCAAAATCAAAATGACGGCTTCGTGGGTGGAAACTTACAGATTAAGGGGCGGTAATATTATAATGAGATCCCTTTGCAACATCACTAGGGGAGCGAAATCAGACGCGCTCGTTTTCTCAGACGCTTGCAGAAAAAGGCTTACCAAAACAAAGTTACTGGGTTGATCTTTTTCACGTTTCCTTGGTTGGTAGATGCACTGGAAACCTGATTATAGCACTTAAAACCTGGAAAAGTCAGATTTTCATGATATGTCACCTTTAATATCTCTTAATTGTGACTTGTTTCTTGTTTCAAATATATCTCACTATTTACTTTATATCTCACAGTATGACGTCATTTGATTTTTTTTTTAACTCTAATGCAGAAATGGGCTTGCATACTGAAGCGATGAAGTTCGTAAGTAGCAGGTTTATATATACATTTTTGCAAAGACTTTAAGTCGGGAAACAGTTTTGGGGATGTAAATAGTAAAGCTTCAGAACTATGTGTGATATTGCATACTGTATGTGTATGTGTGGTTGCCAACACTGTTGAACTGCATAGTCTACTTGAGAAATTGGTTACAGTTATTCTGTTGAATATCTAGTTTACTTGATGTAAAGTTCCTCAAACAAGTTCCCTAGAACCAGTTCCCCTCTCAAAATATCAGTTGCTTTCAATTTAATGGTAAGCTAAAATTGACCAAATACATATACTCTACATGTAAGACTCCATCATTTTCTAGAGCAGTCCAGAAAAGCAGAGTTCATGAGGCAAAGTTATTTGTTTTAATGGAGAGAGAGAGCTGAGATTTACTCTCCAATAAAGCTGGGTTTATATGCGACCCATATAACCAGGTTTACGTACCGTCATGGTTAGGGTTCCCCAGAGTCCAGGGCTCATCCGAATCGAAGTGTGTGTCTCCTCCAATCCCCGGACCGGGAAAGTAGGCATGTGCAAGGAAACCCCCTTCTCCATCGAAGGGGGAGCTATCGCCGTGGAAACCTGAGGCGAAAATGATAGTAATATCCACATCTTTCTTGTTGCGCTCCAGGTCGCTGTAGGGCACTGCCTCGAAACGCAGCGGCGTGACGTTCTGCCACACGTCGAACGCCCGGCGAATGGCATTGTGGGTCTCCTCCGAACCCACCTTAGGCGTGACGTTTTTTATACTGGAAAGAAGGTAAGATGACGATCAGAAAGTTTGTATTTGACATATAATGATCAAATAAACAACTCTGTGTTGCACATAATGAAACGCACAGGACGTTTGACTGCAATAGAGCTTGCTATTTGCATATTTTTGATCTATACATTTTGGTGTTGAATTAAATTATATTTATATTTCTAATTTTTTTTCTTTTTATAATTCTCTGTGAAGCAGTGTTGTTAAATATAATTTTGTTAATTTAAATAAAGCTAAAGTATAGTATATAAGTATAATAAATAAAAAAGTAATTTATAAAATGAATAATAAATTAGTAATAAATACATAATTACTATTTTATTACGTAATATTACCATCATTTTAGTAATTACTATTACTAAAATTACTGGTGGTTACACTTTATTTTAAGGTGTCATTGTTGCAGTGTAATAATATATTTAAGTAGGCCTACTGAGTAATATTAATTAACTACATGTATTTACTATATAGGGTTTGGCTTAGGGTTACTTGCACGTAATTATGCATAATTCATTGATATTATAATAGTAATTACATGTAACATGTGTAACAAGGTCACCTAAAAATAAAGTGCTACCAAATAACTAAAACTAAAATAGAAATAAAGCTAAATAGAAATACGAATAAAAATGACAAAAGCACATACAATTACTAAAACTTAAACTTAAAATAAAATGGAAATAAAACAAAGTATAAAATTTAAACTAATTCAAAATATTAATATTGTAATGATATATAACTAATACTAAAGTAACACTGCATGGTTGCATTTGAATTTGACCAAAATGCATCTTATAAGGCAGCTTAACTTAGCTGGTATTTTGGAACAATTTTCACTTCGAAAATGACTTAAAATGCTGTCTACATAGACAGCTCACTGGGTTTTGGAACAGAGCGAGTGTATCTCACTCCATGAAATCTTGCAGAAAGAAAGAGAAACAGACAAAGAGAGTAAATTAGGAGGAACCGCTGCTTCTCCTGCTCCTCTGCTGGAGGTGTTACAGGTGAAGCAGGGTTTATTTTCTCACTGAGGATTACCAACAGCTCACTGCACTACAAAAGCCGCCTGATGTGGGCATATTTTCAAACCTCATATTTTTTTAATGATGTGTATGATATGTTTCAAATGTGTTTTTAAGCTCTTTACCAAACCACATTTTCTTTTGCCTCTGGACTGAGTTTGTGAAGGTTGAAGGACGCAACTTTGTGCCGCTCTGTCTTATAATGTAGTAATGTGTTGGTGTCAGTGTTGAAGAAGCTACTTTAAGACTGTACACTACCTAGGATACAAGCTACGCATAGTTAGTTCAACCACAGTCAAGCTAATGTTTTGGAAAAAGTAGGCTACCTGCAAGTCATCTAGCCACAACTTAAAGGGGCAAAATCTTTTGAAATGAACAGGTAAGTACTTGCAGATGCTCAAATCAAGTGAATAATTTATTTTTGAACAGCTTAATTTGCATAAACATTCCAAACGAACTGATTCACTGGAATTAAACAGATCCTCCTTGCTTCATTTGCAGAGTTGTTTTTGTTCAAACTAAAAATACTAATATTGTTTTCGGAAATTTTGGAACAACAAAAAAAAAACCTTAAACTTAAAAAAACTTCATTGAAAACTAGAAATATTGTCTTGGCAACTAACTGAAATAAAATAAGTTTAAGTTGATGAACTAAAATTACTAAAACTGAAATAAAAATAAGGCTAAATAAAAATATTTAAAAACAAAAATTAATAAAAATGACAAAATCACATAAGAAAATTGCTAAAACTTAAATGAAAATTAAAACGAAACTGGAAATATAAACAAAAGCACATTCAAAATACTAATTAATATATATATATATATATATATATATATATATATATATA